GAACTGTTTAAGGCTGTGAGTCTGACGGGGAACTGTGAGAAAAGTTGAACTGTGACAGCGAGAAAGTGTCTTATAAGCGCTTTTAAAAGTCAACAGTTGTGGAGGAAGATCCAGTGAAAAGAATGGAAGCGTTTAAAAGCGAAACCGGAATTGAAAAAAAAGAAAATCCATTCTCAAAGCTAGAGATCTTTTGAAAGGGCATGAAAGAGTGAGAATTTACAGCATATGAACTGAAAGCGTTAACAGCGACCCGAAGGAGGACTGGAAAAGCCGGAGAGAGGGAAACAGAAGAAGCTCCTCCATGAAATTGGGAATTTAAAAGAAGCCAGCACGCGAAGAATCGGTTCTGAATGCGCCTTGAGGAAACTTTAAAACAGAGCATCAGATGAACACTACTAATATACTAACATAGATAATATCTTTAACTGGTTTGAAGAAAGAAGTTTGACTGCACACAGAAGAAGCCTAAGAAGATAATTTGGACATTATTAACAGACTAATTTACAAGTTAATATGTCACTCAGCTTTCTCTCTCTCCCACTATATACCCTCCCCATTTCTCTACTTAAGCGAAATACCTCTCCTTTTTAGGAGAGTCAATAAAGCCTTTATTAAAAAAAAAAAAGTGTTCCATCTATAGGTAAAGGTAAAGGGTTCCCTTGCTCAAAAGCTAGATGAATCCGACTCTAGGGGGCAGTGCTCATCTCCGTTTCCAAGCCGAAAAGCCAGCACTGTCTGAAGACTTCTCCGTGGTCATGTGGCCGGCATGACTAGATGCCGAGGCGCATAGAACGCTGCTAACTTCCCACCAAAGTGGTACCTATTTATCTACTTGCAATTTCTTGCTTTTGAACCGCTAGGTTGGCAGTAGCTGAGGCCGGAGACGGGAGCTCACTCCATCACACGGCACTCAGGTCTCGAACTGCTCAGCTATAGACCTTCCAGTCTGCAGCTCAGCATCTTAACCTCTGAGCCACCACGGCCACAGGTTCCTATCTATACCTGGTGGCTAATAGCCACTTAGGGACCTCTACGCCATGTTTCTCCAATCCCCTCTTGAAGCTGTATGTGCTTGTAGCTGCCGCCACTTCCTGTGGCAGTGGGTTCCACGTGTTAATCAGAGAACAGGGGACAGCCAAAGGCCCTCTGCAGCCCACGTCTTCTCCAAGTGAACAAGCAGAGACCCTTGCAAACATGCTGTGCCATGGTAAGGGTCTGCAACTCGGGCAATGGTGCCGCCTCTAGAACACAGCGACTGTCCCAGGTGGCAGATTTGGGCCGGCTCTCCAATGCTCCCTCTAAGCAGTGGAGTCTTGTGAGCAAAAATCCTACTTTGTGAGCTGCTGGCACGAAAGCTGTGACCGGGCGATTTGGCTGCTGTGTAAATCAGTTTGCTCTGGAGCCCTCCTTCCTGAGCTGAGACAAAAATGTGTGAGCCGGAGGCTAAAGAAACTGCGAGGTAGCTCGCACTAACTCAGCTTAGAGGGAACACTGCTGCTCTCCCACCTGGTGCCCCCATCCGGAAGAGATGGCTCTCCTTCCCTCCTCTATTTCCTTCTCACGGGAGTCTGACCACCAGTGTTTCCTGCAAGCTGAGTTAGTGTGAGCTAGCTCACAGGTTTTTTTAGGCTCCGGCTCACAATTTTAATCTTAACTCAATAAGGATGGCTCCAGAGCAGACTAATTTATGCAATAGGAGGAGGAGGAGGAGAAGGAGATTGGATTTATACCCCACCCTTCCCTCAGAGTCTCAGAGCGGCTTACAAACTCCTTTCCCTTCCCCTCCCCACAACAGACACCCTGTGAGGTAGGTGGGGCTGAGAGAACTCTGACAGAAACTGCTCTTTTTCAAGGACAGCTCTGACAGAACTATGGCTTGGCCCAAGGTCATCCAGCAGGTGCGAGTGGAGGAGAGGGGGAATCAAACCCAGTTCTCCCAGATTAGAGTCCGCGCACTTAACCACGACACCAAACCGGCTCTCAGAAGACAGCCAGTTCCACTGTGGGCCTGATAGAAGCCCTCTGGGGGGCGCCTTGATCCAGCCCCTGGGCTGCATATTTGACACCCCTTATTTAAACACTATATCCCTGAAAATATTATACATGTCTACAGTAGACTTGAGAATTCTCATTCTCTGGTCCTGTCACTAGGGTTTCCAACTTCCAGGTGGGGCCTGGAGATCTCTCAGAATCACAGCTGTTCAGCCTACAGAGCTCAGTTCTCTGGGAGAGGATGGCTGCTTAGGAGGGCAGACTCTATGCTGTTATACATTGCACCCTCCCCTTTCCAAACACAGCCTCCCCCAGGCTCCACTCCCAAATCTCCAAGTCCCACAGGTGTGTGCGTGTGTGTGTGTGTACGTCAGTCCTGTTGTGCGTGTGAGCACAACCCTTAACCACGACACCAAACTGGCTCTCAAACTGGCTCTCAGTAGCAGTTCTCTCAGCAGTCAAATCGCTCGCTCACAACTTTAATGCTAGCAGCTCACAAGGAAGAATTTT